GAGGGCTCTACCTTCGGAGATTACAATGACAGGGACATGTCTGAGAGGTCACACAGCAAAGGGGCAAATGTAAGGCTAGGCCGGGGAGCGGCTAAGAACTCTCTCTTGAATACCAGCCAGGGTTTCACAAGAGCAGCATTGATCTCTTTGGGGGCAGTGTCCTCAGGGACCGAACCCCTCCTACCAGACTCCACCAACTATCAACACTGCCACATGGGGGATGTGTATCCTTGGGGGGTGTACACTCAAACTGGTGTCCCCAGTGTGAAGTTCAGCAGTGTGTATGCTCTTAAGCACCCACAAAATGTCCTGAGCGTCCTGTGTCCCCAAGTCCCAAGGAATCCTGAGAACTAGGGAAACCCCCGCCTCCAATGGCAGACAGAAAACACGCACGCTTGGCATCTCCGGTTACAACTCTGAGGGCTCCAAATGCCCTCAGAGTCAGAATTCAAGAGTCTGACTCATAATTCAAGAGTCAGAAGAGGGGCGCTCAGCAGTGCTTTAACACCCTCTCTGATAGGAATTCCAAGTTCTAAAGATTTGTCTTCCAAAAAACCTTTGAGAACATTGTCCCCCCCTTGGGAAGAGTCAGACTCAGGCTGTGAAGCGGCTGTGCATTTCCTTAGCTCACACCCCTTTACTGACTTGGGATGGAATGTCTACTTACAGCGAGCTGGTCCATGAATAAGAATCTGGCATGCCGCCCCCCCACTGTCCCTTGTTCCCACAGTCATCAGCCTGGGAATAAATATAGGCCTTTCCTGGGGAAGGGGCGTACCGTTCTGAAGAGGCCCGTGTTTGTACACAGGGAAGCGACCCTATAGACCAGCTAGCTCTACATGGAATGCAGTCTGTTACGGGCACCGTTCCCCCAGAGCGCAGCTCACAGGACGAGACCGAGGGGATTCTGTCACCCTTTGCTTCTCTCCCTGCCGTAGTCTATAAACCACTTCTGGCAGGTAGTCGGGAAGCAGCTGAGAATTACAGTTTTGCTCCGGATCACAGGAGACCACCTTTAACCTCCCCACTGCTGTCTGTCTCCCCAAAAAGGGCAGAGGGGCAGACGTGAGCACAAGCCAGCTGCTGAGAGGGTCTGCTCACTGCACTGGGGGCAGCCTGTTCAGCTCCACCCACCAGTGGCCCCAAGGAGGGAAGAGCGAGCTCTTTCCCGACCGGTCTCACTACACAATGTTTCTGCGCACCCGGGCCACGATGCTCCAGAGCTCCCGTTCCTCCCTCAGCCTTCGTCCCAGAGCTCCCTAGACTAGTTCCCTTTCCAAAACCTATGCAGATGTCAGTGAAGCCCTGTTCAGCCACCCCTCCAGCGAGGCGTTTTCTGACCCCCTGCCTCATGTGCAGATGACTGCCTGCCTCTGCCCATTCTTAGACCAAACTCATTTCTGCAAGCCCCAATGTTGGTTCTGTGGTCTTCTGTGGGGATCACAGACCCTGGCCGAAAACCCACCCCTCCATCAGCCTGGGAGCAGGCAGCTGTGAGATAATATTTACTGAAAACAATTCAGTGCCATAAAGCTCTTGATAGGGCTCTGATAAGGGCTTGCTCACTGAAACACCATGACTTTGATCCCCCCTACGGATAGATGCTTCTTCCTGCTCCCTGCTGTGTCCCCCCCCCCATTCTGGGGCCGGAGATTAAACCACCAGCCAGGAGGGTGAGAAGTCTGTGAGAGCTGTGAGAGGTGTGTGAGAGCTCGGTTGGAGAACTGTGTGTAGATGGATGGCAGAAGTCCTTAAAAAGGGAAGTGTTTTTTCTTGGGGAGCATAAAGTTTTCTTAAAGCAACCGACCGGTCTCTGTGTCATCTATCCCGACCACCTCGCTACATTCTCGGATGCAGGCTGCTCAGCAGGTGCGACAGTCTTCGGCGCCCGGGCTTACACACCTGTATAGTCCCCAAGCAATGTCTCTCACAGCAATGGCCACAAACCACACAAGTGCAGAGAAATGAATTTAGTCAATTACTCCCCACATTTTAAAATGTGAATTCAAACAAACAAAAAACAGCTTACAAGCTGGACGTTGGTGGCAAAAGCCTTTAGTCCCAGCACTCGGGAGGCAGAGGCAGGTGGATCTCTGTGAGCTCGAGACCAGCCTGGTCTACAAGAGCTACTTCAGGACAGCCTCCAAAGCCACAGAGAAACCCTGTCTCGAAACCTCACCCCTCCCCGTCCCAAAAAAGCTTACAAAAGGTAGTCTTGGGGGCAACTGGGTAATTACAAAGGAGATCTTAGACAACATCATGAAATTTTAGCACTCTGTGTAGAGGAAACCTTATTATATTTAAATACCTTCAACTTTATTTCCTATTTTATTTTAGGTTTATGAACAAACGAAACTGAGCTAAAGGTACCTCAAATTATGCAGCTCTCCTATGAGTAATGTCGCTCACCAGACTGTGTATTTGTGAAAAATCAATAAACCATCCAGGTGTGCTGGTGCCCTCAATCTCAGCACTAAGGAGGCAGAGACAGATGAATCTGTGTGAGTTCAAGGCCAGCCTCGTCTACAAAACAAGTTCCAGGTAGGTCAGGGCTACACAGTGAGACCCTTTCCCAAAACAAAACAAAAAGCCAAACACAAAAATCAAAGAACTTGTACCCATGTTACCCCGACTCCCAGTTTTCTCTACAATGTCTACTATTAGAGCATCAGAATATACTGACTACCCTAAAAGTCCTCTGTGAATACTCGTTAGTATTTTTTAAGGGGATGCATGATGAAGACATTAGAGATGGTTCAGTGAGTAAGAGGGCCAGCTGCTCTTCCAGAGGAAGGGGGTGTGGGTCCCAGCAGCCATATTAGGTGGCTCATAGTCACTCTAACCACAGCTCCAGGTGACTCATAGTCACTCTAACCACAGCTCCAGGTGACTCATAGTCACTCTAACTACAGCTCCAGGTGGCTCATAGTCACTCTAACTACAGCTCCAGGTGACTCATAGTCACTCTAACTACAGCTCCAGGTGACTCATAGTCACTCTAACCACAGCTCCAGGTGACTCATAGTCACTCTAACCACAGCTCCAGGTGACTCATAGTCACTCTAACCACAGCTCCAGGTGACTCATAGTCACTCTAACCACAGCTCCAGGTGGCTCATAGTCACTCTAACCACAGCTCCAGGTGGCTCATAGTCACTCTAACCACAGCTCCAGGTGACTCATAGTCACTCTAACCACAGCTCCAGGTGACTCATAGTCACTCTAACCACAGCTCCAGGTGACTCATAGTCACTCTAACTACAGCTCCAGGTGGCTCATAGTCACTCTAACTACAGCTCCAGGTGGCTCATAGTCACTCTAACCACAGCTCCAGGTGGCTCATAGTCACTCTAACTACAGCTCCAGGTGACTCATAGTCACTCTAACCACAGCTCCAGGTGGCTCATAGTCACTCTAACCACAGCTCCAGGTGACTCATAGTCACTCTAACCACAGCTCCAGGTGACTCATAGTCACTCTAACCACAGCTCCAGGTGACTCATAGTCACTCTAACCACAGCTCCAGGTGACTCATAGTCACTCTAACCACAGCTCCAGGTGGCTCATAGTCACTCTAACCACAGCTCCAGGTGACTCATAGTCACTCTAACCACAGCTCCAGGTGACAGGATCCCCCTCCTGGCAGCCACTGGCGCCCAATACATGTAGAGTACATGCATGTGCACACATACGCACAAACACATGTACCCAAAAATCAACCAAGCAATAAAACGGAAAATTAGGGGAATTTACCCTGAACTGGTAAGAAATCTCTCAGGTGCATGTGTGCAAATACACATTGGCATGCTTATGACACGTATGGCCAACTCATTGTTGGCTCACGAGATGACTGTCGGCCAGAGAAGTGCTCACCATGAAAGCATAGAGAGCCCGGTTTAATCCCTCAGACCCCACATTAAGATAATGGGAGAGAACAGACTCCATGTAGAACACGTGCCTGCATGCACACATCCCACACAGGTACAAACACAATAACAATAAATAAAAATTTGAAAGTAACATATTGAATGTCAACTTGACAGGCTCTAGTAAGAGGCTAACTGCACCTGCTAGTCTTTAGACTAGGTTAGCCCCTGGTTGTGCCTACAAAACATCATCTAGGTTAGGTTACTCCGGGGAGGGAAGGCTGCACCACTTCCTGGCTGGGGTCCTGGGCTGAGTAACAGGACGGCATCTCGGTGAGCGACAGCATTCATGGCGGACTGCAGATACAGTGTGACCTGCTGTCTCTCTGCTGCAATGACTTCCCTGCCTTGATAGCCTGTAGTGACCATGCACTGTGAGCCAGAACGACCCTGTCTTCCCTTAGTCATGTTAGTCAGGACCCTTTAGCAGAGCCCCAGGAACACAACTAGCAAGACTACCAAATCTAGGTGCTGTACACTAGCCATGCCATTCTTTAGATTTTCCATAAAAAACAAACGGGAAATGAAATCAGACAAAACCGGAAAATACAGGATGCAGATGAGCTTTCAGCTATCCGTTGATGTGCATGCCTGCTGAGTCACAACAATGCCTCTCTCATTGTGGGCCAAGATGCTCGTCTTCAATACGCTGCTAAACACCCACTCCCGGCTCCCAGCACAGTGGGGGGGGGCAGGGGGTGGGAGGGGGGTGGCGGTGGCAGCAGCGGCAGTGTCCTCTGGGCTTTCCTTCACTACCAATGTGTTTGCAGAAGACTGCAAGGAGGATGGCAAACTGTCTTGGTGTGCCTGGGACTGTCCTCGGCAAAGCAGAGCAGCTGCCCTCTGAATGTGCCAGGAGCCCGTAGAGCCTGAACTCTGATGATGTGGGGCATGGGCTGCACCACCGCAGAAGCGAGCAAGGGGTCAAGGCCAGAGTGTAAAAAAACTGGACTGGGATGACAGCTCTAACAACAGCCACAAAGGAACTGCAAGCGCTACCTTGCAAAGTGTCCTTAATGGGCAACCTCTCTGATAGTCACCTAACACGGAAAACAGAGGACAGAGGGGACTTACTGTAAAAACGTCATCGTCTCCGAGCTCAGCTTCGTTATGAATGGTGGAAGATGAGGTTGTTGAGCCTAGAAAGACAAGAATGTAATCAAATCAAGCTGTGGATAATTGACTTCAATCACTTACAAAGTGGCAGGTGTGGTGGCAGGTGTCCCCCGCCCCACTTTAGTTTGGAGGACCGAACCCAGGACTTTCACAATGACAGACAGGTCACAGCCCCAGCCTTTAGAAGCGCACTTTATTTCGGCAGTACTGGGGATTGACCCTAGGCCTCATGTACACCAGAGGCACTCACTCTATCATACTCTCAAGAAAAGTGTATTTTAACAAAGATGCCTCTCATTCTTTCAGTATAGTGACCACAGCATAGGATCGCGTGGGAATTCAGTATTTTAATTCATTCCCATCGGTTCTAGCCACAACGCTCCCTAAACTGACTTTTGCCTACACTGTGGTTCCATTATTTCAGCTTTTCCCTGGAGGGGGTTGTGGGGGAGGGGCAGAGAGCCCATCTACTCTGAAAGGCTAGCCTCAGACCCAGGCTCTCAGTGACCTCGAGGTCCCAACAGAGTAGGGAAACGCCAAAGGTCTCTGAATTAGACCTACCCAGCCCCGGTGAGAGAGGGAGCCCCCACCCCAATTCTGAATTCTGACCCAGCACTCCCTGGCCACACTTCAGCTGCTGGGTTGTAAGCAGACACCACTGGAGCCCCCAGCGACTTGGCTTTGCTTTCCAGGTAAAAATAAGGGTTTCTGCTAGAAAATCCAGCTAACCCCATCATGAAATGGTCTGGAAGTTCAAGTTCAACTGTCGAGTTCACTTCTTTATCCAGTCTGCAAATCAGTGCAGCAACCCACTTCTCCCAGCCAGGAGTGTGGGGTTCAATTCAAACAAATCGTGCACGTGTGGGGGGGGGAGGGGGGAAGAGAGGGAAAGGGAGAGAGAGAGGGAGAGAGAGAGGAGAGAGAGGGGGGAGAGGGAGAGAGAGAGAGAGGAGAGAGAGGGGGGAGAGGGAGAGAGAGAGAGAGAGAGAGAGAGAGAGAGAGAGAGAGAGAGAGAGAGAGAGAGAGAGAGAGAGAGAGTGCAAGCGAGAGGGGACACCTTGTGCAAACCAGTCATTTCCTTCTACCACCTGAGTCTCGGGAATCAAACTCATGTCGTCGTGCTCAGGGTGAGTACCCACTGAGCCACCTCCCTAGCTCAAACCTCACTTCTTAAGCAAACGGGATGGATTCTTTGATGATCATCATTTCTTCCAATCCTGACTTTGGTGTGGCCATGCCTCAGGGTCTCAGTACCTTAAATACTGATTTGTAACTGAATTGTGGATGTGTGGAGAAGTTGCATGTTTGTGGCCCAAGGCTTTTCCAGGCTGAGGTCATGCGGCACTGCCTGCACCCCAGGCAGAGACAGCCCTTTCTATTTGTAGCGGATTCACTCTGTGGCCTCTGCACCGTCCCTATCAGATAAACACAGGCTGAATTACCATTTCATGACATCAGCGTCTCACTATCCTCTTTTCTTAAAGCTATTGTAACTTCTATGGCATGTTATGCCTGCATGTTTGTATACTAACTGTGTGTCGGTATCCTGGGAGTCCAGAAGAGGACCCCGGGAACTGGAGTGACAGAGCAATGTGAACTACTACACGGGTGCTGGGAATCAAACCGTGGTCCTCTGAAGAGCAGCCAGTGCGCTAAACCATCAAGCCATCTCCAGCCCCATTCCACTATCTTCTAACCACATCATAAATTCAGTAATAAAATGCTTTCTCTCTTAAAGCTATTTCTCCTGTGTAAGAGATTCATTACTGTTAGTAGGGGCTGTAGGCTGCTGTTAACTGGAAAAATAATTCAAAAGCACTTTCTTTAAATAAAAAAAAAGCACCTGTTTGGGAGTGGGTGCAGGCAAGACTGAGCACAGCGATTGGACGTGGAGGTCAGAGGGTAAGTTTGGGAGTCCTGCCCCCCATTGCAGGTTCCAGGGAGGGATTCAAGTTGTCAGGCTTGCATGTCAAGTGTCAAGTGATTTGACCAGTGGATCCAACTTTGGGACCCCAGTTTACACTTTTCGTTTTGCTTTTTTTGGGATAGGGTCTCTCTATGTAGTCCCGGCTCCTGGCTATGGGCAGGAACACACTCTGTAGACCAGGCTGGCCTTAAACTCACAAAGATCTTCCTCTCTGCCTCCTGAGTGCTGGGATTAAAGGTGAGTGCCATAACATCTAGTGCTTTACACATTTAAAAATTTTAAATGTTAACTTGAAATGGTGTTAGAATCCTATTGTTCTTTAAAAAAAGAAAGAAAGAAAAAAGGTATCCCTATAGTTTGTATGCATTTGTGTACAAGGAAAGGACTTTATTCTTGCTGTGTAGAGTTGCAGCTTGTTAACCTATGTTTCAAATTAAATATGTGGCTTAGTTTCTTTGTTCCTTTTTTTTTTTCAAGACAGGATTTCTCTTAATAGCCATGGCTGTCCTGGAATTCTCTTTGTAGACCAGGCTGGCCTTGAACTCACAGAGATCCACCTGCCTCTGCCTCCCAAGTATGCCAGTACTGCTCAGCTGGCTTAGTTTCTTTTAAAATTAAAAAAAAAAAGTACGTAAGTCTGTATACCCCATGTGTGCAGTGCTTGTAGAGGTCAGAAGAGGGCTTTGGCTTCCCTGGAAATTGGGTTACTGGTGGTTATTAGACAACTTTTAGGTGCTGGGAGTGCCGGAAACCTAACCTGCATCCCGTGCAAGAGCAGCCACAGCCCTTAACCATGGAGTTGTCCCTCCAGCTTCAGCTTATGTTCTTCTAAGGGACCCGGTTCATGCTACATACTAGCTACTTACATCGAACAGTAAACACTCCCAAGAGCCAGTGATCCCTTTTGATGGTTGGCACCAGTGAAATGGGTGATTCCCACCCCACATGGAAACCCAGAGCAGCCCGCTTGCTGTTTCCCAAAACATTCTCAGCCATCTAGGCCACTGACTCCAACCCTCGCCTCTCCCATGTGCTGTCTTTTAACGGTTCACCTCGGTTGTGCTGAACTTCTGGATATCTCAAGATCTTCTGAAGGCCCCACAGATATTAGGATGGCAGACCGTGGGACTGAAAAGGAACCTGGGATATCCCATAGTCCCTCCCTCTAAAGGTGCAGTGACAAATCCAGTACCTTCTATAAGGTCTTCAATGGCTTTTCTCACGCCCCTGTCAAAGGCTCGCGCATCCGCAGGGCTCTGGAAAGTAAGACCAAACTTCCTATTGTCCACCTTCCAATGATGGAAGGTCGGATTGGCTTTGGTGTAGACCAAGTCCTTTCTGACATAGCATTCCAACACCACCTAAAGGATCGAAACACAGGCTGGTTACTTGTGGGACATCCACTGTGGTGTCTGTCGTAAGCCTAGCTGAGAACCCTCATTGGCAGCCACTAACAAAAGGACACCAGCCCCTGGCCTTCCTTCATGTGCGTAACCCCTCCACCTGGAAGGAACAGCTGATTCCCACTGACAACCAATCTTTGCTGCTCCTTGCACGCGGGCTCTGCTAAGCCCCCACTGTCCTGGCTGTCTCCCTACACCCACACTCTTCCTCCTGCCCCCACAGAGTTGGGGGGCTTCTGTACTGTGGTCTCTTGCCTTCCCTCCTGATCCCAACGGGTATCTTCCTACGTCCGTGAACTCAACAACTTCCTCATTATCTGGCAACCCTTGTCTGCTCATTTCCCTGGCTCAAAACTTCTGTGGCTGTCTCTGCCTGCCGTTTCTCTGTCTTCCCACGCCGTTAGTCAGCAGGTCCATTTCCTGTGTATGGCCCCCTCCCCCCTCAGTTGCTGCAGTTCTAATCTGGTGGTGCTATCACCAACTGCACGTCAGAATTATTAGCATACTCCTCTCCATGTTCCTGATGACTGAGTCTAAGGAGTGGCTTTTGATCTTGACTTCAAACCTAACATGAAACCACCACCAATATTAACAGCAAGAACAAACGTGTGGCCTGAAAACACTGAGAAACTGAACAGCGTCACATTGACTCCCCAGGACACCTCAAATTCTATTGCTACATTCACAATTAATTTCACACCCGATTCAATATTCTCTAGTAGGTTCTTATGTATTAATCTAGTTCCCCTAGATGGTATGCTATAACTCCCCTTCTAATACAGCACTCTTGATGACAGACACCAACTTTTATTTCATGTCATAGAAACTTGGTAATCAAGCAAATATCAACTTCATGTTCTCATTAATAAAAATCCCAAATTATTTAGTAGCTTTATTACAAGCACCAACGTGACCCTGCTAGGTTTTCACACTTTTACCTCGTCTGGCAAAGCCCTGCCATTAACACACCGAGAGCTTGTTAATATAGAGTAAGTGAAAGGCAAGAAGATTAGGGTAAATCTAAACTCAAGAAGAGTGCAAATTTCAAGAATATGTCAAAGCAATAAGAGATAAAATACTGCTCACCAACGCTCTAAATTAATAACAATAATCAAATTGGCTTATTAATAGCAGTACTGAGTGTTAATTTTGTAACACTGTATGGAAGAGGACAGCCCCCTAAAATTCTATTTATGATCACATTGCTTATCATGGTCATTTTCCCCTAAGAATAGCACAATGACTAAACAGCAGTCCAGCTTCATTCCAAATTGGGGAAGTTCAAATAATCAAGGATTTAACTAACAAATGTCATCCATTTTAGAATCCAAAGGCTTCAATTCAAAGTCTCGAGTTACTATTATTTTTTTTTCTTTGCCAAAACAAAGAGACTCAATTTTCCCATATTTTTAGAATGGAAAAAAAATTGGCCTTGGCCATCACTGTGTAACTGTTCCTTTTTAGGCAGCTTTGAACTCTCTATGTACTTGAAGATGAGCTTCCAAATCCTCCCGCACATTACAGGTTGTGTCACCACGCCTAGCTCAAGCCATGCCGGGGATGGCACTCACACTCTGTGCATGCAAGGCAAGCGCCCTACCAACTGAGGCCCCGCCCCAGCCTTGAGTTAGGTGACCTCTGCTCCAGTCTTGCTCTTCTCCCACCCCTCACCACAGCATCCCTCAGACTTGTTCCCACAGCCCTGGCCCCTTGTCCCCTACTTACAAATGTACAGAAGTTGGTGTTTCAGCAGAGACATCCCTATGATGTCCCTTCTGCAACTTGTCCCTTGTTTCCCTTTAAGTTATGTCTTGGGGAGGGAGCTGGAGAGATGGCCTAGCTGTTAAGAACAATTATTGCTCTTGCAAAGGACCCCGTGGCTCATAACCATCTGTTAACTCCAGTGATAGGGGGTCAAACACCCTGTCCTGATCTACATGGGCACTAGGCACACATGCAGTGTTGGGGGAAGTCCTGTGCATTTGTCAATAAAGCACTGTCTGGCCAATAGGGAATCTAGATAAGAGGGACAAGCCGAGATTCACATGGCGGTTACATCTTGCCCTCCTGTGTTTCTCCTTCCCAGAGTCCTTCTGGACTCCTAGTCCCTCCTATCTAGATTCCCTATTGGCCAGACAGTGCTTTATTGACAAATGCACAGGACTTCCCCAACAATGCAGCACACATAGGAAAACATTCATATGCGGAAAATAAAATACAAATAAAAAAAATCATGTCTAGCAGGGTGGTGGTGGTGGTGCATGCCTTTAATCCCAGCACTTGGGAGGTAGAGGCAGGTGAATCTCTATGAGTACCAGGCCAGCTGGATCTACAAAGTGAGTTCCAGGATAGCCAGGTAGCCAGGGCTACATAGAGAAACCCTGTCTCAAAAGAGAGAGAGAAAATATATCTTATGGAGTGTATATATATCTTAGGGAATGTGTATGTATCTATGCAGCTTAGAGGGAGAGCATGCGCTTAACTTGTCTAAGGCCCTGGATTGGATTTCTAGGAGAGGAGGGGAGGGGGAGGGGAGGAGAGAGGGAGAGTTAACCGTTCTGCTCAGTGGCTGTGGGCTGACTCCCCTGCATAGATGATATGGATTTATTAACCAGGGTCCATACAAATGGCCCCTTTCACAAACAACACCACTACGCTGTTACACATAAAGCTACCTGAGTTTGATCTGTGGGCTTCCGAGAGCCCCCTTAATTCCCCCAGCTCCTTTCTATAGGGCATCACACTAGCATTTCTGCCATCTTCACTCCGTGTGGACATTTCGGCAGGGAAGGGAGGGCAGTTACACACAATGGCAGGTAGCAGTGTGCGTCTTAAAGCCGTCACCAAGCACAGTGCCAGTTTTATTTACCCAGGAAAGCCCTAAACCCTCTATTTCATGGCTTAATTCTAAGTCCGCACAACTGGATTCTCACACTGGGCTCTCTATAGTCAGCCTCCAGCAGCAGGCTACTTTGGTAGGCAGCAGCAATGAAGAAAGCTGCCTTGCACGGGGGTGGGGTGAGGGTTGAGGGGTGGGGCGCACAGTCAGGATCGGGCAGGGTTCCTAAACCTTCCCTCTTGTGATCAGGGAAGCAGAATCACTGTCCCCATATTGGCTGGTATGACTGTCTCCATTGTGAGCTGGGCTCCTCACAGGCTGATTAACTTTTTTCCTTTTCCTCTTTTTTGGACAGGGTCTCTTATGCAACCCAGGATGCCCTTGGGCTGGATAAGTAGCTGAGGCTGACCTGGAACTCCTGATCTCCCTGTCTCCAAGTCTCAAGCGCTGGGCCAGCAGGTGCAGCTCTCTCTGTGAATCATCATTTTAATTAAAAGATCAACCAATAGACCAGGCATAGCTAATTGGGTATTTGGCAGAGATTTTCTTGAAGATGAGCAAACTGAGCTTGCTGCCTCGAAGAAAATAACTGGAGTCTCCCATCCCTAATAATAATTAAAAACAAGAAACAAGCCAACCTTCAAGTTAAAAAAAAATCAGAGTTTTGGGCAGTTTACCAATAACTAAGCACTTTTTTCCAGTTATTATTTTACTTTCTGTGTATGGGTCTTATGTCTGCATGTATGTCTGTGTACCACGTGAATGTCTGATGCCTGTGGTGGCCAGGACAGAAGGTCAGATCCTCTGGGGGTGGAGTTACAGATGGTGATGGACCGCCACGTGGGCTTTGGGAATCGAACCCATGTCCTCTCTGCTGAGCCATCTACCTCCGACTTTCATTTTGTTCACAGGTACGTTGGTGTGAAGGTGCCAGACTCACTGGAAATGGAGTTACAGACAGTTGTGAGCCACCGTGTGGGTTCTGGGGATCGAACCTGGGTCCTCTGGGAGAGCAGCCAGTGCTCTTAACCGCTGAGCCACCTCTCCAGTCCTGTCCTCTGACTTTCAGATATGCATTGTGTGCGCATGCGAAGAGAGTAGTACACACACAGTGTCATTAAATAACTAATGAGCAAGAGGGAGAAGGATATGTATTGGGGCTGTGGTAGCACATGACTGTGGTCTAGCTCCAGGGAGGCTTCTGCGTGTAAGGGACTGCAAGTCCAAGGCCAGTAAGGGCTATGTAATTCAAGCCCATATCAAAGAAGAAAGGGCTGGGGCTATAGCTCAGTCCTGGTGCCTTCCTATCCACAAAGAATGTAAAGCTAAAGAAATCTTTTTTTTTATACCATAGGATGAAGTATGTCGCCACCCGGAAGACTGGCCTAAGACCAGCAAACCCCACGTTCTCTTCTCCAGGCAACCAATTCACAAGGCCACGAAATCAGGCCTGAGTAAGAGATTCGCTCATGGTGAAGGATTAAAGAGCAGTTATCATGGAAGGGAACATGAAAAGAAGGTGTGGCTGGCATGCAGCTTAGTCTGAAGGAGGCCTTCCTGTCATCCACAAGCCCTGGGTCCCCAGCATCAGATAAACCGGGTACGGTGGCACGTGCCTGTACTCTTGGGAGAGGAGGCAGGAGGATCAGAAGCTCAAGGTCATCCTCCCCCTAAGGGTTTGGGCTAGCCTGGACTACCTGAATCCCTCTGGGCAGTGGGGGCGCACACCTTTAATCCCAGCACTTGGGAGCCAGAGCCAGGCAGATCTCTAGAACGGCCAGGGCTACAGAGAAACCCTGTCTCCAAATCCCCCCCACCAAAAAAAAAGAAGGAAGGAAGGAAGGAAGAAAGAAAATGTTACCAGTTATACAATCTAGGAAGACTATCATCTACAATTATAAGAAAGGGGGGTAGGTATGGTGGTGCAGACCTATAATCCCAACACACTTTCCTCTTAATCCCAGTGTTTGGGTGGTGGATGGAGGATGGTCAAACATGGGTGTGAGGTCAGCCAGGACTGTATCGTGAGTTTCAGGCCAGCCAGGGCTGTAAGTTTTAGTTTATATATAATTTTTCAGGACTACTTGATTTTCCCTATTACCAAAAATTCTCTGACAATTTATGAATGGGTATATGCAGAAGAAAAGTCAGTTAAACCCACAGACTCCAATACAGCACACATGCACGCACGCACGCATGCACACACCCACAATGTATTCTAGAACGACTTCCCACACATGCCTATGAAAAAGAGCCCTGCATGCCCAGCTGACATACGGGAAACTAGGCCTCCATCCCAAACTCAGCCACCTCTCCCTCACCTTCAGAGGGGCTTCCGACAACCCGCCTCCTTCCAGAGCTCCTCCAGAGGAGGTCTAAGAGATGTCTCCGTATCTGCAAACGGTGTGGGAGTCCCGTCCAGGAACCCAGAATTTCCCGGAGTGAAACAGGCAAAGTGGGGGGTTAGAAAAAATAAAGCAGAAGCATGCACAGGTGCGGGGTTTAAATGCCACCGGTAAGGAAGTACAGAGTCACAGCAAAGGGAGCAGGAAGAGGGATGGAGAGACGGGGAAACTGAGGGTGGCCAAAGAGTACATCCGGGAGACGGCATCACCCCGAGCCTCAGACACAAACAGAGGCTGGCCCGCAATTCCATGGCCCGTGCTGGACTCAGGAAGCAACGTGCTACGTTAAAACGTGGAGTTTCTTCCCCTTTGGGTGTGACATGAATTAACGGAGGCTGCTATTCATGTCAGGTCCTTGGGCAAAAGGGAAAACATCTGTAGTTCCTATGTATAAGTCACTGGGAAGACACAAGTTCATAATGCAGTTTGAAAGGAAGGGGCTGGGTTAGACAGTCCCGACTGGCTATTTAAAACTGGGTGTGGTGACACATGCCTGTAATCCCAGCATTAGGAGTTCAAGGTCATCCTTGGCTACAAAGCCAGTGTGGGCTACAGAAGAGTCTATCTCAAAAAGCCAGAAATGGAGGCTATCCCAGCTGGACAACCTACAACAGATCAGAGAAAAGCAAGGAGAAACAGCCCTTAGCATACAGAACCCTTCACGGGAAGACAGGCTAGAAAGAATTTCTACTGAAATTCCGCAGGATAAAAATACTAATGAAAGTGGAAAAGGCAAGAAACAAATTATTAAAATCTGTTATCAGTAACAGCCAAGGTAAAGTCGTCCCGCCAGGGCAGGATGCAGAGGAAGAGCAAAGTTCCAGCAGACGGAGGAGCAATGGACAGTGACAGATAACTCAGCCACCACGAAGAAGAAGGAAAACACTTATTTCCTGTGTGTGCATCTGCAAGAGGGTGTGTGCCCTGAAGCACACACGGAGGTCAGGAGACAATCTACAACAATCTCTTTTCTCCTACTATGCGTGTCCCAGGGATTGAACTCAGGTCATTAGGCTTGGCTGCCTGTACCCTCATACACTGGGCCATCTGACTGACTGACAGCTAACAGGTTTTTTTAACAAGCAGGAAACCATATGAGGTCATTCATAGGTGACTGAAGGAGACCACTGTTATTCTATCGAATGATAGAGATTTAAAACATATGACCTCAAGACCTCAAGGTTAAAGGAAAATCTCACATAGTAGCAGCATCCCTATGAAAAACCACGCTCCAAATTAACTCTCTCTCTCTCTCTCTCTCTCTCTCTCTCTCTCTCTCTCTCTCTCTCTCTCTCTCTCTCTCTCTGTTTTTTAAAGACAGGGTGTCTCTGAGTAGTCCTGGTTATCCTCGAACTGCCTTTGTAGATCAGGTTGGCCTTGAACTCAGAACACAGAGATCCTCCTATGTTTGCCTCCCAAGTGCTGGGATTAAAGGCGCCACACCACTGCCCAGCTCCAAATTATTTCTTTAAAAAACATGAGGTGTGGAAAATGCAGTTAAATGTGCCTTCATAGTACTAGGTGACGGGGGGGGGGTACACACTAAGGAGATGGTCTAGCCTCGGAACATTGCATTGGTGTGAACAACGGGAGAGCTCTGGAAGAGAACGTAGGTGGCAGATGAGTGAGGTGCAAAGCTCTTTACCCACGGACAAGTGTGTGAGCATGAAAACATGCACAGCTGTGCGCTGTGACTCTGCTTTCGTTTTGGGACCTGGGTAATGCTGTATTAAATACGGTCCCCAAGAACAAGAAGTCATTCCCTGTGCATCACAAAAGCAATGAGCTAACCCTGTGCTTAGCTGGGGGAGGGGGGTACATGACACGCACATGGTAGCCAAGCCACCTTTTTCTAAGATCTTATTTATTTGGTGTGTGTGTGTGTGTGTGTGTGTGTGTGTGTGTGTGTGTGTCTGTGAGAGACAGGGTCTCACTATCTAGACTGGCCTGGAGTTTGCTGTGTAGATCAGACTGGCCTTGAACTTATAGAGATCTGCCTGCCTGCCCGCCTGCCTGAGCCTCCCAAGTCCTAGGATTAAAGGTGTGCACCACCACACCTGGCCATTTCATTTTCTTTATAGCGTGGTTCAACTGCCCACACTGGGAGAATTTCAAGGAGTGAATTAAGCGTCAAGTGGCATTTCAGTTAATTTGTTATATTTATAAACTATTCTGTCTTACCCATTTGGTAATTTCCTTCAACCATAAGAAGTGGTTGGGGAAAAAAAGAGCGTATCTACACACGTCACACATAAAACTTGCGCAGGCTCTCAAATGTAACACAAAATAGTGAGGCGCCACACGCATTTCCTCTGGGAGGCCTGACACATTCCAAGTCTGCAGTGACGGAAGATGTGGTGGCTCATATATATGGTGGAGTACACAGAGGGTAAAACGGTGGGAAGTGAGCCATGCTGAGAGAAGTCTGTCTGAAGGAGACTCAGAGCTCGGGACACTCAGCACTCTGCGGAGAAGATGCTTGGCCAGCATGTGCAAGGTTCCGTGTTCAAGCCTCAGCGAGAGTAGGCAGGAAGGCGAGAGAGACTAGTTTGGGCTGGGGGTGGAGTTCAATGCTAAAGCACATGCCCACTATGCACAAGGTCCTAGGTTTGAGCTCTGGCACCCCTGCACACCCCCCAAAAAGGATAAACTGAACTTGGTCTGCCTTCCTCCCTATCATGAACCGTCATGTAACTGGCCATCCAAGTTCCTTCATGAGACTGCGCTATCCCACCCTTTCCCATGTATTTGTCTCCAAGAACACACAATTACTTATACAAGTGCCATGCTAATCATGTTCTTCGTGATTTTCTTTTTATCAAAGATGCTTTCCTAATTCCTTATGAAATAAAAGTTGAGTGTGCTTGTGTGGTGTGTGTGCGCCTTTTGTGAGTGGAGCTGGAGGAAGACACCAGGCACCCTGCCTTCCCGCCCGTCATCGCATTCCTGAGGCAGTGCCTCAGTGAACCAGGAGCTAAGGCTGTGTCAGTAAGCTCTGGTGAGCCACACTGCTGGGTGACAGGCCAGCACGGCCACCGTGTGTCCCCCACAGTGCTGGGTGACAGGCCTGCACAGCCACCGTGTTTTTATTTGGTTACTGGGATCCAGGCTCAGGTCTCCATGCTTGCACAGCAAACGCTTGTACACCCTGGGCCACCCTTCCAGCCGCTAGCTCTGGAATCTCTCAGACAAACAATTACTGATAAGGAGCCAATGCTAAGTGATGCCTTCTCACCCGTTACCTCCTCCCGCCCAGATCTCACAGGGAAAACCTTGATTCCAAGTCGGTCGCTGGATGACGTGAAGTAGTGAGGAACATGCTTTTGCTTTCAATGGCTGTTTAAAATGGCACACCTTGATTAATCAAAGACGTAAAGACAATGGTCAGATACCCTTACCGCATGCAGTCTACATGAGAGGCCGCACTGAAGGGGAGGTTACACGAGACAAATCAAAGGGGGAAAGGGCTGTAACTGTTACTTTAACTCCCGCGGTCTGTCATTACCAGTTTGTCTTTCTGCCGTTCACCGTGGATGAGAAAGCCGCTCCGTCCATTGCCTTCAGGGTGCATGACCTTACACACCCCGACGCGACTGATCCCGCCTCCTTCCTGTGGGAACCATCCCCCGCTGGAGTCATCTCTGGTCATAACCACAGCCTTGACGCGCACAATATAGCTGTCACTAAAACGACAATAAGAAGGGGCATGACAACGGTCTAGCAGCTGCAGAACGTGCTTCCTGGGGCAAGACACCTCTTCTGATGTGTCTGCAGATACGTATGGCTGACGGTAACCTGCGCCGGGAGCCCATCCCGACGTGTAGGAGAAACAGCACATAATGCAACACAGAAGCCCATCTTAAAAGAGAGACACCGCTCATCATCGCATCTCGCTTGTGAGTCTCTGGAGATGCGCCCGCGGGCACGATGCCCTCTAGTCTCTGCGGGCTGAGCATTGACTGAAAGAACAAGTTAATCTCTAGAACTGGACATGTGACTTGGAAAGCCAAGCCTACTCACTAACTTCAAAAGGATGTTACGACTCTAATCTTTTCAACTTAGTTTACAATACATGACCAAGCTTTAACATTTTATGACATGCAGAACCCTATTTAGCAAGCAATATGATAATCCGCTTCTAAATTACATGGTCTTAGTTCCACGCACCACTCATATAGGTGGGAAGACTTGAACTCACCTCTACACACTTACAGCCTTTGCTTATGATTTCCTTTTTTTCAGTCTAAATACATGATTTGCCCTAAGCTCTACTCCACTATTACCAAACATCCTTTTTCCTCCAAAGAACAACTTTAGCTTCTTTTCATTGTTGGTTGGTTTGAGGCGAAATTAAACTCTCACTTGATTTTATATACATATTCCCATCTTGCATGCACCAGGCATGATGCCGGAGTTGAGGGACGCAGTGACATAGAATGGGGAGCCACGGAGGACAGTGTCCCACCTCAGCACTGAGGGGCAGATGGCAGTCTCAGAGACATACTGCCCTGTCCTCCCAACCACTATCTCCCTTTACCTCCCACCCACTGTGATCTGCTGCTGGGATTTCACTGCCTCCCACACTCAGGCAGCATCTTGTCCCCCACAAACGTCCCCTTTGTCTTCTTCACCTAGACTCAGTGGAAGGTGCCTCAGGCAAACACACCCCGGGCCTGGTCTAAGAGAGATGTGTGCATCACTGAACCATTCCCCACCTGCCTTCCGTTTCTTTCAACTCTGGGTTCCAACCCCCCCAATTCCATGAAGACTGCCCCCATCCCTGCGCACGTGTCCTAGTGTGTCGCCAGTGTCCCCGAGGATTTTCCTGATACCTGTGCATCTTGTGTCTGGGACTCTTCTCTTCCCACGTCTTTGTACCCGGCCAAGGCTATCCGTGCCCAGGGTGCCAAGTCAACCCCTGGGCTTACCACCAGCATGGGCACTTCCTCCAAACCTCACTTATTATTTTTTCCTTTTGGATAGTCTCATGAAGACTAGGTTGGCCTCAAACTTACTGTGTAGATGAGGCAGACTCTCCTGTTCCTGGGTCCTCAATTACACACAGGTGTGAGCCATCACCAACACTTGAGAGTAAGCACCTCACTTCCAGCCACTAGGGCCAGGGCTCTACGGCTGACTTACCCCTCCCCACCCTGCTCTCTGCCCCCCCCCCCCACCTCTCCACCACACTGCTCCGGCCGCTGCAATCGGTCAAAAGGAAACCTCACTGCACTCTGTTCACAGGGCTTATTCTAAGCCCCAGTCACCAACCACACGTGGGGCGTTCTGCTACATTTGCCCTGTGCCCAAGATGCCTTTGGATAGCCTCCCGCCTCCTTGCTCTGAGGTGACCGTTTCGTTGGGAAAACCAACAATCAGTGGAGACCTACCCCTATGCCCGTCACACCCGCAAGCCTCTCCTGTCACACTGGCCGAACCACGCCCCATCCCTCCACCTCCACATTGCTCTATGCCAACAACACCCATCTTCACACTTCTACCTGGCCTCCTACCTACCGAGATCCAGACCAGTGACAACGGTGGATGATGACATGTCTCTGCTTAGGTGTCTAAGCCATCTCAAGCAACACATGCCAGATGGAACTCTTCCTTCCCACTCTTTTGGGGTTCTCCCTCCTTATGGCCGGATACCCCCTTTTACTACCCCACTGTTTCTATGCTGACCCTACTAGTCATCCCCTGCCCTGAGGCTGTTGTAGTGGCACCCTGACTGGAATCCTATGTACACGCTGGTCCACCTTCCCTGAAAACAGAAAGGTTAGTCACATGGCATCATGTGTGCTAACAGCGCAAACACTGCCTTACCCAACTACTGACCTCCTAGATGCCACTCCCATCCCACAGCCTCCTTGCTGACCCTCCACAATTGCAGTAGCCATTTCTTCTTATTTCTCACCTTCCTCTCCACACATCAGTCATGTATATCCTATTTCACATGTGTCTCTGCACAACCGTATTCCAGAGAGCACTTTCCCAATACCTATAAGTAGCCCCCTTCCCCCACCCCAAATATCTTTACATTACTGGCTCTGTAACCTATCTGCCCACCAGGATGAAACTCAGTATGGGTGGGGGCATGGCCACGTTTGTTCACCACCGCATCCTAGGACCTGCAATGGTACCTAGCCCGTCAATGGTACCTAGCCCGTCTATGGTACCTAGCTCATCAACAGGCTGTAAGATCAATAGGCTGAAAATGTAATATGAACAGGTTTTTGTTTCTAAAAACTGAAACTAATGAAGTCCGTGTATCAACACTCACTTGCTCAACCACGACAGCTTAACTAAGATATGGTAGTAAATGTTTGTAAGGAGCAGCGCTGGGAACCGAATGCAAAGCTCTGTGTATGACAGGCAACTGCTTAGCTACATAAGTACATGTATGTGTGTGTGTGTGTGTGTGTGTGTGTGTGTGTGTGTGTGTGTGTGTGTGGTGTGTGCGGTGTGCTTGTGTGCACTGTGAAGGTCCAAGGACAGTTTGTGGGAGTTGGCTCTCTCCTTCCACTAGGTCAATCCTAGGGATCAAACTCAAGGTTCTAACCTGGCAAGAACCTTTCTTTACCTCTGAGGGACCTCGGTGACCCATCTAGTCCTTTGAGTCATTTTTATTTTGAGACAGCCTGGGGTGGCCCTGAACTTGTGATTCTCCATCTTAGAAGCGAGGCAATGGGGCATCACGTCACACTGTAAACAGGAACACACGCTTTCCCAGGCACTACAACAGCTAGAATGTTACCAGTTCTGGCAACGGAGACTTCCTTTTCCTTAACAGGAAGGCAGAGGGAAGTGTCAGAGGTCACACATGACGATGTGCACGCAGGCGGCACAGAGGTCACACCTCAGGGTTTAACGAGCCTGTTCTAGAGAACCCAGAGACTGAGAACGCTGGGCGTGGGCTGGCGAGGCGGCTCAGCAGGCAGAGGCGCTTGTCACCAAGGCTGACAAAGCAGAACACCATACCCCGGATCCACGCGAAGGGCAGCGCTGGCCCCCTCAAGGTGCCCGAGGTGTGGAGAGCTTCGGTTCCCACCCCAGCCATTTCCTGTGGCACTGAGCCCATCGTGCCCTTGAAGAATATTTGACAGAGCGTACTGTGTGTCGGAAAGTAAGTTACAGCTCCCAGGAATTGCTATAGTTTCCGGAATTGCTTACAAACATATAATCAAGGAGGACTAGGGTACAAGCAGTCAGCACCTCTTGTAGCATTGGCGGACCTCGTCAGTTTCTGAGAGCATTACTTTGAGTTTCATTTTCTTTACAAAAGGAAGACGGCATCCACCCTGCTGGTTAAAGGCAGTGACGAGGGCCGTAAGTCAGAGCCACAGTGGCTTGGGAAGCTGCAGCTCACTGCTTTTGCCGGGAAGGCTGGCTGTAATCGCAAAGGCAGGTCTTTAAACTGCAGCAGTCCTGCCCACTGAAGAGTAGTAAGTTTGTACAGCGTGGGCCTTGCCAGCTGTCAGGCACCCGAGGGTCAGCATCTGAGACCACCAGTCTCAACGGCAGATGGGCTCAGAAAAGCCAGGGTGGATGGCACTGAGCACACCCCCAGAGGGGAAAGTTCCGCTGCCGCCCGTGACCCCCTGCCCGCCCGCTCTTCCTTCAGGGACGGAGCCAATCTCATACCCCCATAAATCCTCCCCAGCACATCCCATGACCAGCCCATGGTATCTTTATCTCTCCATCACAGGACATACAGGCTCACTTCCTTCCAGCCCCTTCGCCCCTCCCCACACCCAGAGAGGGATTTGCCAAGGTCCCCGACTCCACTTCCCAGCCGAGCCAAAACACCAGCTTCTCCCGGAGCCAGGCACACTCACTTCATTTTAACCACACCCCCACGAGTCCTCTCTGTGCCTGCAGATTTATAAAGGCGCTTAGATTTCACCAAGTTGCCCATATATGTGTATGTTTATATGATGTATGCCTTGTGAGTTCTGTAAAATTAATCAGCAGGACACTGTGGCAAAGGCAAATGTGTTGAGAAGCCAAACGTGCTGGTTATCGTCCATTGGTGCTGCTTTTCCAGTGCTTGTCTTAAGTATCAGTTACTTAAGAATTCATAAAAGATGACCTTAAAAAAAGCCTATATTCTGAACTTGATGGGAGAGAAAAGTTATCCATGTGGTTTTACACACAGCAGTTACATGTCTTTCTGCTCTGCACAACCATCCAGGGCAGAGAGCGCCGGCTCTGCATGCCTACTTACGTACATAGGACACAGGGTCTCTAGATTAACGACTTAAGCAGATACCATGTGTACGGTTAGTTGTTAGCCTATGATGGAAAACAGTGTTAAGCCTCTGGACGATTCAGTTGCAAAGATGCCATTTCTGGCAGGGTTAGTAAGTCTGGGGGAGCAGTAGCTCTCCTGTTAGACACCCACAGCAGGTTCTGTGAAGGGGCCCCATCATCCCTTTCCGAATCCCTACTGTCGCCTCACTAGCGTTGGTTAGGGAAGCCGAAATGTGGGCTAAAAGACACTTCAGACAAAGGCTTGCTCAGCCGTGAAGCTGACTACAAAATGGAGTTCAAGAGCCATTTATGAAATAACCCTGCCCCAATATCAGGGAGCAAAAGTACTTAGCTGGGATTCAGTGCCAAGGGACAGGCCTTTCTGAGAAAAAGCAGGCTCCTTGCCTGAGTTCCTACGCCTCTAAACCAC